AACAGTTTTTTTGCCATTTCAGAAAAATTGTGTCTATCTTTCTTTAAGTTAAAATTTTAAGATACTTTAAACTGTCTCAAACCATTTAACCAGTCTTGAAAGTAAATTTTGTTGTGCAAAGTGAAATAACATTTTGGATATGAGCTTTGACTCTCGTGTATGAGATGAAAATGAAGAAGAAAATATTGCATTTGTGTGATGCATAAGAGCAATTAAGACATAGATGGAAAAATGTTATGTGTGGGAAATGCTAGTGCAAACAAATATTTCCATTGGGGTTTAGTTTGGCCTTACAACGAGGAAAAAGAAACTGAAACTTCAGATGGTTTTAGTGAATAGAAGTGCCAGTCAGGCAGGGAAGGGAGTGGGGCAGGTGGAGAGCTCAGCCTGCCTGTTCCAAAGATAAAAATCATTTACTGCCTTCGTTGAAATGCCCTCTGATCTCATCCCGGTGAATCCAGGCTCGGACTGCACATGGAATGTGTTGTCAGCAGTGAAGTTTGACACAGGGCCATTGACCTTCTGGTTTTTGGCTGCCTTTTGACATTCAGCCCACCCTYCCTTTCTCTGCTTCTGCCTAGACTGTCCAAGCTTTTAGGATTTTGTTTGAGGAGTATCAAAGTCTGCATATGCTCTAGATATGGAGAAATGCTGTTAGAGAGTTCTGTCCCTTCACATTCTTCACCRGAAGCTCCTTAAAACCACATAAGTCCAATGTTCTAATTCTTGTTTAGTTTRGGGAGCAGTTTAAATGGAAAGCCCTAAGGAATTGGGATCGAATGAGCACAGTGATCCTGGTCAGGATTACAGCTGGAGCAGAAAATGATGGAGGCAGGCATTTAAAGACCAGTGAAACAAACGTGTCTTTATTGTGCTTATAAATTATCATAACCTGGAAAGATTCTCTAGAATTTCAAACYACCTATAAAACCTCTTTTAAAAGCCCGACTGGGAACTTTCAGCTTTCCCTGAGGGTCTTCAGTTATGTAACCCCAGGAGATGAGCACAGGACAGCACAACCAGTGCGAGCCATTCTGCAAGGAAAGGGCAGGGAATGTTCCAGAGCAGGAGGCACCAGCACTGCTGTGTGTGAGCATGGCAAAACTTGGGCAAACCGGTGTTGGCACAGCTTGTTGGCAAAGGTAACWGGTCGTGTTTTGAGGTGTCTTCTCAACAGCTGTGATGGTCACATTTAGGACTGGCCAGGAAAAGGGTTTGTCTGACCCTGAGRATGTGATTTCACGTGTAGGCAGTTACATCCAGGTTTGTATACACGTAAACCTACACAGATATACAGAGCTGTATTTACAGCAGGCTGTGTCTGGAGGCCTGGGCACGGTGATTTTCCCTTCTCCTGTAACTTAGAACCAAAGCTGTTTCTGTCCCTTGTTCTCTGGCAGTGACCTGCTCGGAGAACCCTCCCTGGTGCTACGTTGTCGTCGCGCTGCTCTTCTCCGCAGTGATTCTGCTCGTCACCGTCATCCTGCTGGCCCTGAAATGTTACAGCCACTGAGGCACAGCCTGCCGCCCTGCTAACACTGCGGGTAAACCCTCCCCATCCTTCTGACACTGCGGGTGACTCCTTCCCCATCCTGCTGACACTCGGGGTGAGCCCTTCCCCATCCTGACACTCCGGGTGAGCCCTTCCCCATCCCTCTGACACTGCAGGTGAGCCATTCCCCGTCCTTCTGACACTCGGGGTGAGCCCTTCCCCATCCCTCTGACACTCGGGGTGAGCTCTTCCCCACCCTTCTGACACCCCGGGTGAGCCCTTCCCCATCCTGCTGACACTCCGGGTAAAACCTTCCCATCCTGCTGACACTCGGGATGAGCCCTTCTCCATCCTGACACTCCAGGTGAGCCCTTCACCCTGCTGACACTCCGGTAAACCCTCCCCAGCCCTGCTGACACTCGGGTAAACCCTCCCCACCCTGCTCCATTTCCACACACTTGGAATTKCTCAGAGGAGGGACACGGAAGCCCCAAACCAAAGGCTGTGTAGTCCAGGCTGGGATTTGAAGGCACCTGTCTGATTTGGGGCAGGAATGGCAGCCCTGCAGGGACACCCTTTACACCCAGTGCTCCTTGCAGACCATAAATCCCGTTTCATGGCTCTCCAGGTGGCTGTCCCTGGAAGGGTCACTGGACACACTGCAGGCTCCATGTTCCTGTCCCTGGTCACAGCTGTGTGCCCACACCTCCATCCCSACACACCCCAAACCTTGCCAGGGGCACAGGTGCCCTCTCTTTCCTCTCAGGACACTTACAGCAGGTTGACCTTCACTAAGGTACTCTAATTCCAGCATCTTTTGTCTCTTTTATTTGCAGATAACTCAGCACAGGAAGGTTCTGCTTCTTCAACAAAACAGGACACAAACACGTGTTATTTTACACTCTTTCTGAAGAGACCTTTATGAATGAAGACATGCTATCAGTCTGATCACTCTTCAGTTATGTCATCCCAGATCTCGGTCAAACCTCTAACCTTTCTGGACAAGAAGGAGATTAATTTTATTCGGAATTTTCTTAATCCTGTAGTACCAGCAACCATTCAATTATATCAGTGTATGTACCAAGTCACAAGCTCAAAATCCTGCATCAAAATGTGGATTTGGGTCTGTTTAGACAACAAAAATGACCAGGTGGTTGCATACTTTTAATTCAGATCTGCCTTGATTCTGCACTGATTTGCAATACAGATAAGCTCTTAGAGTRCTTTCTGTGCAGGTGCAAAAACTCATGGACAAAACAGGGAATGTGAAAGGTTGTACTGAACTTTCTTATAATGCACAAGCTTGAACTTGATTTTTCTTCTTCTGACAGCCTTTAGCTGGATTTATGAATATGAATATAAATATGAAATGGATTTATGAACATGAATATGAAAGGAATATTGMAGGTTCAAGAAACTAAATGTGGTTAGTAGAGAAGTCTCAGTTTCACCTCTTCCTTGGCTAGAATAAAATTATTCTGTTCCATTTGTCCAGAAAAGCACCTCACAATGTGTTGTTTTTGTCTTGGGGCAGTAATTAATTTTGTATTTGTTTGAGGCTTTGTTTCCCCAAGTGCCATAGCAGTTAAAGCTGAGTCCTCCAGTGGAACTGAGGCACCTGAGGTTACACATTTTTTGTAATTATAATTTTTCTGTCTGTTTTTATATCATTTTCGGATCTTATCCATTATAACTTCTTTAGGGCAGGCTGCAGAATATTGGCAGACCCTGAGTAGGAGGGGTCTGTTTAGCAGAGATTTCTAGAATATTCCTTATATCTAAGCTTATTTGTATTTAAACTGTGTTGCTGCTGTTGGTGATGTACCCCATCTTTATAATACATGCACAGAAACCAATAAAGGGATTCAGTAAAGCTCTTATGCTCATGTTTGTTCTTCTGCTGGTCAGACTTTTATGCTTCTGCTTCCAAATGTCTTCGGCCTCACAGTTATCCTGGGTCATGGATGCCTCAGATTTCTACAGTRAGTGATAGCCTGTAGAGTGAAGGAAAAATTTATTGATTTCATAGTAATTTCCTGGATATTGGCTTCATAGCATATTCCTTTGTGAAGTATAAGGAGAGACAGGACAAAAGGTTTTTATTGTTTCTGGCCTTTCTCATCATCCTAAAAACATTAAAAGATTCATGTCAGGACTCCTAGTTTAGTCAAAAACCATCTTGGAGGTCTCAGAGGGGTTGATTCACATCTGCACATCCTCGATGTGGGATCTGGATGGATAAATGGGCTGAGACCAAAGGAATGAGGTTCAACGAGGCCAAGTGCCGGGTCCTGGCCGTGGGTCACAGCAGCCCCTGGGTCACAACAGCCCCTGGGTCACAGCAGCCCCTGGGTCACAGCAGCCCCTGGGTCACAGCAGCCCCTGGGTCACAGCAGCCCCTGCAGCTCCAGGCTGGGCCAGAGGGGCTGCAAAGGGCCTGGGGCTGCTGCTGACAGCAGCTGGACATGAGCCCAGGCGTGCCCAGGTGGCCAAGAGGCCAAAGGCACCGGGCCTGGAGCAGCAATGGTGTGGCCAGCAGGACCAGCGCAGTGACCATCCCCTGCTGAGGGCAGCCTGAGGGGCATTGCCAGTGCTGTGTCCAGTTCTGTGTCCATCACTGCAAGATGGACTTTGAGGGGCTGGAGAGAGTCCAGGGGTGGGAATGGAGCTGGGGAAGGGTCTGGAGAGAGTCCAGGGATGGGAATGGAGCTGGGGAAGGGTCTGGAGAGAGTCCAGGGCAGGGAACGGAGCTGGGGAAGGGGCTGGAGCGTGTCCAGGGGTGGGAATGGAGCTGGGGAAGGGTCTGGAGAGAGTCCAGAGATGGGAATGGAGCTGGGGAAGGGTCTGGAGTGTGCCCAGGGCAGGGAACGGAGCTGGGGAAGGGTCTGGAGCGTGTCCAGGGCAGGGAACGGAGCTGGGGAAGGGTCTGGAGAGAGTCCAGGGCAGGGAACGGAGCTGGGGAAGGGTCTGGAGCCCCAGGAATGGCTGAGGGAGCTGGAAAGGGGCTCAGCCTGGAGCAAAGGGGTATCATTTGGGACCTTGTGGCTYTGCACAACCCCTGACAGGAGGGGACAGCCGGGGGGTYGGGCTGTGCTCCAGGAACAGGGACAGGAGGAGAGGGAACGGCCTCAGGCTGGGCCGGGGGAGGGTTAGATTTSAACAAGGTCGGTTCTTTTCCGGGCACGGCTGATGAGCGATCAGAAGGGCTGCCGGGGAGGCGGTGCATCCCCATCCCCGGAGCTGCGGGCAGGGCGGACGTGGCAMTCGCTCCGTGCCATGGTCCGGCTGACACAGCGGGGCCGCCCAAAGGTTGGAGCCGCTGCTCTCCGCGCTGCTTTCCGAGCCGAAGCTGTGTGCTGTGCGATCCGTGCGGGCTCAGGCGGTGTGTGCTGTGCGATCCGTGCGGGCTCAGGCGGTGTGTGCGGGCCGTTCCCCTCGCCAGCAGCCCCGCACAGCCCCGCTCCGCTCCCGTCTCCGCGGTAACCGGGCGGGGCCGCACCGCCCCTCGGCTCCAGGGCAGGCCCGGCGGGCGGGCGGAGCGTCCCGGCAGCCCCGGCCGCGCTCCCCCGGCTCCCCCGGCTCCTGCCCGCTCCCTGCCCGTTCCCCGGCGCCATGTGCGAGCCCAGCAAGCAGGACATCGGCGCCATCTTCAAGCGGCTCCGCTCCGTGCCCACCAACAAGGTGAGGGGCTGAGGGGCCGGGCAGCGCTCCGCTCCGCTSCCCGCGGTGACACGTCCACAGCCGGCGGGGCGGGGAAGCGCAGGGCCCGCAGCCCGAGAGTCCCGCCCGGGACAATGGGGAAAGGTCCGGCCGGTGAACTGGGGGGAGCGGGGAGCCCTTCCCTGCCTGTCCCCGTCCCCTCCGGCCGGGATCCCGCATCCCGAGGGGATGAGCCCCTGGGGAGGGCGGTGCGGCGCCCACCGGCTGCTCGGGTCCGCTCTGAGGGTCGGGTCGGGTCCGCTCTGAGGGTCGGGTCGGGTCAGGTCCATTGTGAGGGTCAGGTTCGGTGAGGGTCAGGTCCATTGTAAGGATCAGGTCCGGTAAGGGTCAAGTCCATTGTAAGGATCAGGTCCGGTAAGGGTCAGGTCCATTGTAAGGATCAGGTCCGGTAAGGGTCAGGTCCATTGTGAGGATCAGGTCCGGTAAGGGTCAGGTCCATTACAAGGATCAGGTTCGGTGAGGGTCGGCTCCGCTGTAAGGATCAGGTCCGGTAAGGGTCAGGTCCATTGTGAGGGTCAGGTCCGGTGAGGGTCAGGTCCGGTAAGGGTCAGGTCCATTACAAGGATCAGGTCCGGTGAGGGTCGGCTCCGCTTTGAGGATCAAGTCAGGTTCGCTGTAAGGGTCGGGTCAGGTCCATTGTGAGGGTCAGGTCCGGTGAGGATCGGGTCCGGTGAGGGTCTGGTCGGGTCCGCTCAGGGTCGGGTCAGGTCCATTGTAAGGATCAGGTCCGGTCTGAGGGTCAGGTCCATTGTAAGGATCAGGTCCGGTCTGAGGGTCAGGTCCATTGTCAGGGTCAGGTCCGGTAAGGGTCAGGTCCATTACAAGGATCAGGTCCGGTGAGGGTCGGCTCCGCTTTGAGGATCAAGTCAGGTCCGCTCTGAGGATCAGCTCCCATGAGCATAAAAACAAGTTCCGAACCAGCCGCAACGTGGCGTTGAGTGATACGTATTTTTCTTTTTTTTTTTTTTCCCCTGCTTTTTTTTTTTTTTTGACCAACAAAGTGGCACAGCCGCTTCTGCAGTGATAGGAGTTTGTTGTTTGTGATCTCGTTGGTTTGTGCCGTGCTCGGGTGGGTTTTGCCGTGTTCTGGAGGTGTTTGTGTGTGTCCATTCCTGTGCAGGTGTGGGCTGGGAAGGTGGCACAGGTTCCTCCATCTGCTCCGTGCTCTGTTCTGCGTGTTTGTGTTGGCTCTGCSATGTGCCCTGAGAGCACACATGGAAAATACACCCACCAGGAAACTTTGGATTACGGAGAAACACGTTGGGTTTGTTTTCTGCGAATGGGAATCCGGATGTCTGTCTTTGGTCCAAAACTGGCTRTCACTTTTTGAACGCAATTCGTTCAGAATGTACAGGTGTAGTTTTTCAGAAGTCAGAGCTCAGAGGTGAGCACTCGGTTTCCGAGAAAAGTATTCTTAAAACTTGCCTTTGCAGTGGGGTAAAAAGTTTATGAAGGAATAGGTCCTAATCCCAACAATGAGAGTGTGAGAGATCCCTTATAAGCTCCTGAAATTCACTGGCACTGTGCCTCAAAATTGAGTCGTTTTAAGGCTGTAGTGATGCTTGTTCGGTACTGGGATCACAGGGGGATTATCAAGTACTGCCCCTGCCCGGCAAGGATGGAGTGCCTCGAGCAGTTCCMTGTACTGGAATCCTTTGTACCGTGGAGATTTGATCTGGTGGCTGTGGTTGCTCAGGTGTATCTGTCTCCCCGTGTTGGATGCTACACAGAAATTCATGTTGACCCAGCAGTATCAGCACAATGTGTGCTGCCACTCGCTGTGGGTCAGTGCGAAAGAAACGGCTCAGGCACAGAGAACTTGGTAACAATGCGGTGTGCCCGGTCTGCTTGACCTGAGAGGACAGGGAGGGAGAGTGCAAACAGCACTTCAGAKCTCATCACTCTCCCGTTCCGTCTGTCTGACCATTCACCTTCAGGAAAAGTTATTTCTTCCATCAGTTTCTCCTGTTATATTTGCTTCCTGTTTGTTTCCTTTGTTTGCTTCCTTTCTGTTTGTTTCTTTTCTGTTTGTTTCCTTTCTCTTTGCTTCCTTTCTGTTTGTTTCATTTCTCTTTGCTTCCTTTCTGTTTGTTTCATTTGTTTGCTTACTTTCTGTTTGTTTCCTTTCTGTTTGTTTCCTTTGTTTGTTTTCTTTCTGCTTGTTTTCTTTCTGTTGGTTTCATTTCTCTTTGCTTCCTTTCTGTTTGTTTCCTTTCTGTTGTGTTCTTCTTAAGCACTCTGCCCCTTTTAAGTATTGGGTTTTTTTTTGTTGGGGAAGAAAGACATGGGAAAGTGCATATGTTCAAAAGGGTTCTGTATTAAAAGTTTAGTAATTTGCTTTAACTGTGGTTTATGTGTAGAGCTGGGGAAGAACTCTAGGCAGGCATGTGCATTTACACTGTTCTGGGTGCTCTGCAGTAGTTCTTAGTGCACATAAGCTTAGGAAAGAAAWCCTTATTTCAATAARTAYAGAGTTTAATTTGTGGGTTGTAGTKTTAAGTGATATTTGAATAATTGTCTTGAAATGAACATCTGTAATTTGATGTTAGTTCCCTTTATGATGAGGTTGAGTTCTTGGTGTCTTTGGGTGTTACATAATRCAGAGTGCCTGATGACAGCAAACTGGTGATCAACTGCCCCATGACTTAACAAAYGTTCCAGTTGTTAAATAGGATGTATTTTGTACCCATAAGAGTGTTCATAGTCCTTAAGCTACTTGATATTGTTAACTTGAGTGTTCCAGCTATGCAGCTCAGATCGTTTGAAGACTTGCACACTCAGACTGGGCCAAAAGTCTCTTTTAATCTGTCATATATCAATTCYTCTGAAACTGTTGGTTATTCATTCCTTTCCCCCTGGTTCTTTTCTTTGGTTTCTGATGGTATTCCTGTCTCTGCTCGGACTCCCAGTGTGCGTGTTGTGCTGGTGGTTAATCAGTTGTTGAGTTGTCTCATTGCCATGTGTGTTGTGGGTGTGTTTTGTGTGTGTGTCGGGTTTTGCCCCAGGATGGACTCTACAATCTTGTGTCCCTGATTTTGAGATCATGGCACTTGCAGAACAGGCAGTTTTGTTGTGTTCTCGTGGCCAGCCGTGCAGGTGTGATGCTGGCATTCCTGGCCGGGTGGCTGTGCTGGGAGTTGGCCCTACCTTTGCTCTGAGTCCRTGTGGCCCTGTGGGATCAGCAGCTGAGTTATTGGTGCTGGTGCCAGAGAAAAAGGAATGCATATCTGGGTACAGCTGGTGACTAAGAGGAGCTGCATGGTTTCCATCACCTTGGGCCAGTGTGGCACTGCTCCTGAGTTCCAGCTGGGCAGAATGCATATCTGGGTACAGCTGGTGACTCAGAGGAGCTGTTCGGGTTTCCATCACCTTGGGCCGGTGTGGCACTGCTCCTGAGTTCCAGCTGGGCAGAATGCATATCTGGGTACAGTGGCTGGTGACTAAGAGGAGCTGCTTGCAGAATTGGGCAGAATGCATATCTGGGTATAGCTGGTGACTAAGAGGAGCTGCATGGTTTCCATCACCTTGGGCCAGTGTGGCACTGCTCCTGAGTTCCAGCTGGGCAGTTGTTCAGGGAGCTGAATGCAGAGCTGGGAATGGCAGGGTGTGGATCTGCCCTGGGGCTGGAGCCCCTGTACAGGACAGGTCCAAAGGGCAGAGGCTGAAAATTCTGTGTAACCCTGACCTCAGGGATCAGTGATCTTGCTGAACCCACTGACCTCTTCTGCTTGTGCCAAAAATAGCACTCCTATCAGCTATCTTTTACCGTGTTTCTATATTCAATGACTATTTATTGACATGTCTTGTGCAAGGTGGATGCTTTATGATTTAGTGATTGCTTGCTGTGGATTATACCCAWATCTCTGTGTTTGCTCTCATATAAACATCTCAGTTAGGTCTTTGGCTGTTTTTTTCCAAAGTGATTCTTACTGAATCTACACTGTCATTAAATGCTTTAACAAAAAATAAACAAAAAGCATACAAGTGTATTTTAAAAGTACTAGCTTATTTACGCATATCCTTCAAATTTATGTTTAATCATTATTTTAATATTTTAGTTGCACCTACATCTGTACAGAAAATGCACTTTGCTTTTAAAATGGAAACAATTTCACAGGATGGCTCTGAAATGGATTTTCATTTTTTCCCTGGTTCTTCTTAAAATTTATGTGATGGGAAGCACTTTAAAAATTGAAAGACTAAGCAAAATGAATCTAAATGTTAATGAAAGATGCATCTATTTCTGTTGCATAGCATTGATGGAAATAGCAGTTCCTCCTTTGCTTTCACAAGAAAATTGATGTTCCTGCGTGCATCTCAGTCCTGATAGGTAGATTTTTATGCTTCACATATGCCTRTGTGAATAATCTCCACAGGTATCTGGGAGAGACTCCTGGATGAGTGAAGATACTGAGCTGTGCAGCTTTGTGGCAGCATCTCCAAGGTGATGCAATTGGCTTTCAGATGATGAAATTACAAAGTGCTTATTATTGGAGGAAAGGGAAAGGAGGAGAGTCTTCAGGTGTGTTTCTCACTGAACTTTTAAAAACATGGGTAGTTTTTTTAACCATCCACTCCAGATTTTCCTTTCTCATTTGTACTCCAAGGAATTTCCACAAGACTTACAGCTGTAAGTCAGCTTTCCTCTCCAGTATTAGAAACAAGGCTGATCTGTTGACTTTATTTTCAAGCACAATCTTCTTTTTGTTGTCCTCATCCTCCTTTGGCCTTGTAAGGAAAAGCCTAAAAATAAGTCAATTTAAAATGAAGATAAGTCTCATGTTTTTGAAGGAGTTGGGGAAAAAAAGAACAAGGTCTGACTGCTTACTCTGTGTGTTTTCTTATGAAATCCTACTCATTCTTGTTTTTCCCTCACTCTCTCTATCATTCTTCCACCTGACCTTGTTCCAGGGACTCCTGTTAGCCCTTCCTTTTGTCCCACGTTCTGTGTAGCTTGTGTTTCTGCTGCATGCCAGTGAATGCTGCATTTCCACATACAGCAGTGGGATATGTAAATAACTTCACATTAATAAATATTAGGTCCCTGTTTAGAGGCAAAGGCAGGACCTGCACATGCAGAAGCGGTGATCTCCATGTTTTCTGTGTGTTACCAATTGTGACCTAACTGAAGCTCACCCTTAAAATGTTCAGTTGTTGGAACAGTTAATGCTGGGTATGCTGGTAAACTGTGCTTGTGCCTGCTAAATTTGGACTGTGCAAGCTAAACAGATCCACATTAAACCRAGGAGTTTAGCCTCAAACTGCTCCTGGGCATGTACTTGAAATTAATTTCGGTGGATGATGGGACTTGAGAGCAGACTCAGGGCTTGTTTGACTGTGTATGTACAAAAAAACAGGTACAAAAATCTCTGTTTAATTGTATAGAGGGAGTTTCTGGCAAGAAGACTTCTTAATTTTAATTTATTTTGTTGTTCAGCTTGGCAAGGAGGTGCTGGAAGCACTGTGGTGTGTGTTTATGCAGTTCCATATGTCCCCACCTGACTTGGAATAAAATTTGTTTTTTATAGCTGCGTATAGGTAGAGCTTCCATTGCTATCTGAGGATGCATTGAGTTCATAGGAGGATGTTAAAGGATAAAGTTTCAGATTTTAATGCTTTCAGTTTGTGTGGGAAAGCTCATCTCTCTGTGACGTTATTTCTCACTAGATACCACTGACTGTACCTATGGGTGSGTGCTTCTACTGTAAAAATACTTCTCTGCAGCCTTCACAGATAACACTGAAAAAGCATTGATAGATAAAGTCCTGTCATACAGGAATAGATGGGTACACATGGCATTTACTCAGTRTAGCTGTTTCTTTTAAAATTTCTGTTGTTCCCTGCATCTGATAATTGATTTGTATCAGGTAGCTTTCTTCTGGTTCTTTCTTGCCTTGTTCAAAGAWGCACCAAACTCAGAATAGCTGAAGAAGGACTTGGAAGTCGATGGTCTGCTGACCTGCAAAGTGTGTGAGGCATTTACAGCCACAGTTCTGGTTCTGGCTGGGTGTTAGAGATCCGGTGTGGTGGCAGAGGGTAGGAAATTCCTGGTTTTGTCTGTAAATGCAGTAAGTGTAGAGCTGGTTGTTTTTAAGCAGCTGGTGCAGATGGTGAAAGGCTGATGTGGCAGTTGGTGGGTAGTGAATCATGCAGATGTCTGCAGCCTGGATAGGCAGTGCTCAGGGACTTTCTTCACACAGCTGCATTTCCATGGCTTGCCCTGAAGGTCGAGGTTTCAGTATTGGAAAGCAGATAATGATGTCATTAGTACTGCTGATACCGTGTGAGGGCTCAGAGATGCAACATTAGAACCTGCCCTCGGGGAAATACTTGTTGAACATTTTCATATTCCTGCAGTGCTGGTACTGCTGTGTTCAAYGTGTGTTTGAACTAGGCTGATACGGGTTCTCTGACCTGATTTCTCAACCTGTGTGCACTGGTTATAATTGGAAATGGGGARGCATGTATTTGTGTGGGCAGATTGTGTAACTCCTCTTTAGATGGATAAAATTGGGATATTTGGAGTTGTCCTGTCAACAAACGCTGTAAGAATGAGTTAATGAAGTTGGATCCCTGCAGGGTGTTACATTGACCTGTGATACAACCACAGGGCCTGGTTGTGCTCAGGTCCTGGTAATGATCTTTGTTTTCTTTCAGGTGTGTTTTGACTGTGGAGCAAAGAACCCCAGCTGGGCGAGCATCACCTACGGAGTGTTTCTGTGTATTGATTGTTCAGGGAGCCACCGCTCCCTTGGTGTTCATCTGAGTTTCATTCGGTAAGAACTTGCTGTGTCCTGCCAGTAGAAACTGCACCTTTGAATGGGTTTGTTTGTTCAYGTTCCTCAGAGAGGAAAACCCGTTCTTCTTCACCTCCTGATTCAAACTTTCTTAGTGTTTGTGTTGGCTTTGCTGTATCTGATGGCTGCTTGGGAGTGTGTTCTGTTTGCYAGCTTTGCTTCCTGAGGTAGTTCATTGTGGTGTCACCTGAGTTCTGYCCTTCCAACCCAAAMTATTCTGTGTTCTGGTGCCTGGGTAGTGCTCAGTCATTCCGTTGGTGCAGTCAGTCTGCTTTCTGAACTTGTCCCATTCCAGCTCAGTGTCCCAGCTGCTGACTCAGGGCTGTTTTGGTCTGATAAATAACTGCAGATTACCAAAAGAAACAGAAACAGTGATTTTAAATGGCTTTGGAGGTAACACTAAAAGCATTTCTTTGTGTTTAGATCTACAGAATTGGATTCCAATTGGTCTTGGTTCCAGCTGAGATGCATGCAGGTCGGAGGAAATGCAAATGCAGTATGTACTCCTGAGTGTTTCCGTTGCACATTGAGGCTTGGTAGGCTTGGAAAATACTGTCTGTCCTTACTGCCTCTCTTCCTGGGAATGTTTTTATTTTTCCYRTCCTTTTTCTTCGTTACAGCCCCAMCCCTCCATTTAAATTGTTTAAATTTAAGGAATTCCTTTGAATGCTGACTTCATCCCCCTTTCTTGCAGCATTTCCATTTTGATATAATTTGATTTTTCTTGCAAATCAGTGATGAAAATCACTAAAAAGGCCAGATCAAATTCCTTGATCAGGAACATAATTTMGACAGGTGCTGCAAGGTGGCTTGTAAACCAAGCTTGTGGCCACTTCCTGYGACCATCATTGCTTACATGTTTAAAATCTTTGATTAAATTATATACATTTTGCTATATAAAGGGTTTGAGGCAGTTGGAAAAAAAGAGATAACAAAGTCTAAAAAACCTTAGAAAGTCTATTTTCAGAAAAATAAAATTAATGCTTTATTGTTTTAATTTTGTGAGATTTTGTCTTGCTGCTTGGATGTCACTGTTTCATATCATACTGTGTACCAACATGTGCAATATCCCCACAACAACTCCCCAAATACCTCAAATTCTCAATGGTCTGGTTTGGATTGCTTCAGAAGATTAATACTTGAAACTTGAAAAACCAGCTTAGTAAATTGTTTGGACATTAGAAGTAAAATTAAAACTTTTCTTTTAATGGCACTAAAAAGCCATTCCCTTTTGGTTCCAGTTAAATACCAAATGCTRGTTTTACTAACTGCTGGATTAACATTAATCATTTGTGTTCTGTTATTGCCTGAATCCTGGATAACAGCAGTCCTGAGCTTCCTGCTATGTTTTGGATAGCTGTAAAATGCAAAGTGTTCTTGGTTGTTTTTTTTTTCAGATTAAATCTCTGTGATAATTGGAATAGGGTTTCTAAGAAGCCCCTCTGAGTATCAAGTTAATAGGTGTATATATATTTACATGCAGAAATGCACAATCATTTATTCATTTTATATAAACACACAAGTCCATAAACATATCTGGGCACATCAAAGTGTGYATAAACACACCTTTCTTTTGGAGGAAGAGCATTTTTGTGCAGTCATTTTGTTACTGTTGAACATACATTGTTCTCTCCAGCCTGACAGAGATGAGGCCAAGCAATTCATTGTGGAATATTAGCAACGTCCTGTGGAGCACAGCTACTGACAATCAATTTTATCTCTTTCTTTCACTTAATGACTTGATTTCAGAACTAAAATTCTTTGTATAGGATGGAAGATTGCATTTGTATATGCTTCTGAAGCATCCCACTAATGTCATTGGGTTTTTTCTGTTTTATTTRTATGTAAAGAAATTGCCAGAGTGGAGTTTCCTTTATGTTTTGGAGATTCCTTAGACTTTGTAATTTAAATTATTAGATTTAGGCAGAGGAGCAGAGCGTTTTGTGCATTGCAATACATTTCTATGTCAAATGGCTTTATTTTTTAAACCTGTTCCTCACAGCATTTTCTGTACTCTCTTCCCAGTCTGCTTTTTTCCACCAACACGGGTGCACAACCAATGACACCAATGCCAAGTACAACAGTCGTGCTGCTCAGCTCTACAAGGAGAAGATTAAATCTCTTGCCACACAGGCCACAAGAAAGCACGGTACTGATGTGAGTAGTGTGTGTCCTGAGGCCTGGAGATCCCTCAAAAACTTGGCTTTCTTTCCCTCTAAAGTCACCTGACATTTCTAACTCATTGATARAAAAGATCATCAGTCTTTGGAAAACGTGGCCATTTCCCCATGAACCATGGATGGCTTTTATTTTTGCTTGTCTGAAACAGAATCCATTAGAAAAGTACAGCATGTAGAAATGATAATAGAATTAATTACAGACTATTTGTGGTGGAAGTGGGATTTGTTTTGAACAGGTATATAKGTATGTTTTCTTTTTTCCYTACAAAAGTAAYACTTGGGAAATCAGCAAGTTGTATRGAACTTGCTGTTCTCCATCCAAMATGCTGARGCAGTTCATKCTGTCAGAACATTGTTAGGTTGCTGGCAGAGAGGAGTTAAGCAAAGTATCCAAAACTGTATCTGAGCTGTTGAATGACTTTGATAACAATTCTTTTCTGCATACACAGAAAACATATTTGCATTGTTGAATTCWGGTGGTTAAAGTTTGTGACTGGTTCATTTGAAGTTAATCAGATGAGTAGAAATTAAAAACAAGGTTTGATATTCTTTTTCTAATCTGGGCATCAGATAACATGGAATTTAATGGATCATTCTTTATTATTCATGCTGTAGACAATATAGTTCACATCACCAARTTCAGAGTATGTTTCTTTTGACTTAGTAAACTTAAGATGTAAAATGTGTTGAAGTAAATACAATATACTGTGKGTATCTTTAAGTTTTTGGTAAATTCCCCAAGTGACTCCTTGAGAAACTATAATTAGATTGCTTCATTAAAGATTCCATCCAATTGTTTGATATTAATTATTTGAACATTTTAGTAAATATTTAGTGAATATTTTTAGTTGTGTACTGCAAACTGAAGCGATTATGTGCTATTTAAATTACTGAAGTAAATGATTCAGATAATTGGATTTAGTAGCCCCCATCCCCTCCCCTGTCAGATATTAAAGAATTCCTTCTCTGGGTCACTGATGGAGCTGTTGTTGAATGGTGAGGTGAGCTGTTGTACCTTCAGTATCTTTTCTGCCAGAGGTCGTTATTTCTCATRTAGTAGGAAGAGCCATGAAAAGAGATTTTCCTGTGGGTAATCCTGGAGTGCAGATCCCAGGCTGGACTCGTGTCGTGTGGCACACTGGCTCCCCAGCCCTGGGACCTGGCTTTGCTCTGAGCTCTTGACTGCTACACCAGGAACACAGAAATGTGTGTGAATCCAATAAAAAAAGGAATGGCATCTGTTGAACCTTGGGTAAATTCGTAAGGAAAGGTTATGGATAAGACAGAAAAATCAATACATTTTTAACCTGAAACCAAAAAAAAAGTCTTTTTAAGACTAATGCATTTGAAAAAAAAATACAATCATGCAATTATCCTTTTAAATTCTGTCCTTTAATTTCAGCTGTGGACAGATGGGTGTGGAATGCCACTGGCATCACCTCAAAATAAAGAGGAGGAAGATTTTTTTGCATCCCATGTTTCTACCAAGGTACAAATTACATGTGTCTAATTTTTGTTTTCTTTCTAAATGCTTTGGTTGACTGTGAGCTCTATGGTGAAGATTAAACCCTGAAAGAAAACTTTATAGAGGAAGGGTTGGTCAGGGAGTTAAAATCTACCTTTCTCTGCCTTTCCTTCTGTGGGTCTCAGAATTCTTCCTGGATATGAACTGCTTCCTAAGATGATAATTTTAAATGGCCCAAATAGTAGCTAAATATGGAATGAATTCGGGTTTTCTTCAGACATAATATTTGGAGTCAGGATTTCTTGCTTGGAAGTGCTCTGATAAAAAAATACTGTGTGATACCTTTGGTTTTCAATCAGTGATGTGCAATAGTTCTCACAACATTTGCTGTGACCATAAGAATCCATAATAAATCAGTGACACTTAGGTAGTCTTCWGTTAAGTGCTTATATTTATTTACTATATTCTATTTTCTGTGTGCTTTTGATTTCATGGGTTTTTTTTTCAAGGCAAATACTACAGAGTGGGTGTTGCCAGAACCAGTTTCTCTCCAGCAAAAAACTTCAGAAAATATTCCAGAATCCTGTGAAGGTATGACTGATTCTTTGTTGATTRTAAGTTGCATTTTTCTCATATTCTCTTAGTTTAGGCTCTTTTGGCTCTACTTTAATAGTAAAATAACCTAACCATGCTAAAAGCACAAGAATTTGGGATGCTGCTGCTGCTCTTTTAGTGACTGAGAAAGGAGCAGATGTGATAGAAATGTCACTGTGATGCTGTATCTGCTGGTGTGCCCTGAGCACAGTGAGATGKCTTTGGGTACTTTATGCATTCTCAGAACATTTCTGATATTCTCCTCCTTTGTTATTCTTCCGTTTTAGGCCCAGAGCATGGACCRAGTGTTGATGGCCTTAGCACATCCCCACAGCCTGCATTAGGTAATGGGTGCAGGAGAGCAGCATTGTGGTGTASCCAAATATCCTTTGGACAGAGAGTGTCTGACTGGGAAAAGTGTGGGAATCGATTTGGTTCCCTTTCTAAAATCTGAACATAACAACTTGGACTGGAGAGATCGTGTGTTGATGATGCAATACCTTCAGTGCCCAGGCTCTTACACTTAACCCTGAGGAGTTTATAATTTTTTTTAGGTAGGGGAAGAAGCTGATGGAAATAGAACAGAATAAAACACATCAGTGATTTATCACGTTGAGGCTTGTCCTGCCAGGTTGCTGMCAATGAAGTGCTGATTGTCAGCAGCACAGGGATAGTAAAGAAGTGGTATCTGGGCCTGACTCAATGCTTTACACAGATATGGTCTTCATCACTGCTTTTATTTGGGTTTAGTTTTTTTTGAGACTACAAAAAAGTTCACTGGAAGCACTTTGTGCTTTTCTCATTTGTACCTTCAACACATTCTTTTGAACAAGTGCTTTTCTTGGTTGTTTTGGACAAGTTCTGTCTTATGGGAAGAATCTTTGTTCTGTATATGCCCCTTTCCAYGCAAATTTCAGCTCAGACTAATTTCTCTGTATGCACAGGCATCCAGTGGGAGCTGTTGATCATGCTTGTGATATTTTAATGATAGAAGTATAAATTACATGTGTCACTGAGGGGTTTAAACAAAGCCAATGCCTTTCTATCCAAGAAAAATTCATCTTGAAGTGATCTGAGCTCAGTTGGGCCTCTGGTCCAATCCAGACTAGCAAGTCCTGCATTCCTGTTCTGTTCACTAGCAGGAATCTGCAGCTGAAAACTCAGCTGTTATTTCATGCCTATTGTCTGTTTTCGTGAGATGCCAATCAAAGATAGTTCCTCACATTTTCTGGGAGATATTCACAACTCTGTTCTGTAGCTCGGTTTAGTATCTCAGCCCCTCAGTGTAGAAAGRCATTCAAATAAATGGCAGAAACTATTTTGAGGTTGGTTTTATGGAAATTTGCTTCTGCAGTTCTGGAATTAATTGTATGTCAAGTAATGTACATTTCATCCTTGCAGAGAACACCACCTTCATAAAAAAGAAACCAAATCCAGCTAAGAAGGGGGTAAGTGTATATAAACAATGGGTATCTTTAACTGTGTTGTAGATAATTGATTACAAARTAGTTTAAAAGTAGTTGATAGACTTGCTTCTGGTTGGGGTCTTAGCACTTTGTTAGCATCTGGTGTCTAAAAAGGCATGAAGAGAGTTGAGTGTCTCCGTGATGTTCAGGGAATAGGAAAACTGAGGAAGAGAGCTGGAGTTAAGTTTGGAATGTGTGGCTCTGGTGACTCCAGGAAACAGCCCTAACAGTCACCCTATTGCCACCCTACTGACAGGCTGTCAGGTGCCAGCYCCTTACAGGGAGTCACTCATTTCAGTCTGGGCTGCTGTAGGATTGTAGATTTTGAAGGTTTATTTGGAGTAGATTAATTTAGATTCAATCCTGTAATTCTGTGCTCCTGCTAGAGGACCCTAATGCACAGGAGGAATGTTTTATTCTGAGGGTTGGTGCTCCTGCTAGAGGACCCCAATGCATAGGAGGAATGTTTTATTCTGAGGGGTCAGTGCTCCATCTAGAGGACCCCAATGCACAGGAGGAATGTTTTATTCTGAGGGGTCAGTGCAGATGTGTTCCCTTCCAGAGAGCACAACAGAGCAGAGCTCACAGGAACAGGAACAGGGTGTGATCTGTAGAGTCAGAGCTTGATCTGTGTGTGCATGGCCTGCAGCTTTCACATGAAGATTTGAAAACAGTAAAAGGTGAAGAGAAATTCATTGTGAAATTTAATATTACTGCAGAACTGCAGGTGAGGAATTAAACAGAGGAGACCAAGAGCAGCAGTGTTAGGGCTGTGCCACCATCTGAGTCTGCATGGTTCTATCCATGTTTGTAGGATCTGATAATGGTTCCATGGCAACAAATCTGCTTATGCCATTCCTATAAAACAAAAGGAACCAAAGTTGTTCTCTGTATTTTAATATTTATTTGAGCCTGCCAATCTCTGAACAATGAAAATGATATTACTTTAATGTTTCTGTGGGGCTTGACTGCAGAACTGACTGGATTTATAAGAGATAGTAGAAGCAGCATGCTGGGGATCAAAACATGAAAAAATGTATTTTCTCTGTTCCAGATTTTCCTTCTGTCTGCCTATGCTCCCAAAGAGGGTGTAGTGTTTGCTATTGCTTTCTGGCTGTTAAGGCAGCTGAGGTTCTTGTCTCAGTTATAATATTGGGACTTCTGATTTGTTTTTTTTTTGTTTTACAATAATTCCAGCTTGGTGCGAAAAAAGGTGGTTTGGGAGCCCAAAAAGTGAGCAGCCAAAACTTTAATGAGATTGAAAAACAAGCACAAGCTGTAGATAAAATGAAGGAACAAGAAGATCTTCATAGTAATAAGAAAACTGAGAAGGAAGAGCCACTGTAAGTATGAATTAAATATGCAATGGTAAACCATGAAGCCTAATTTAATGAGCCGATTGACAGCATTTTAAATACTACCATAGWTCAGTTTTTGCTGATAAAACTTCTGAAAAAGACCAAAGAGATGTGGTTAGGGTGAGCCRGACACTCAAAACCCATTGGGCTTTTTTGGCTATTAAATACATGTTTCTTCAGTTGATGACTTACTGTAGAAAATTAAATGTTAAGAATACTCTTAATACTATTAAGAAGAGTTGACTGTTGGATTTTTTTACTCCATACTAGTTACTGAGTTAATTTTGGTTTGGTATAGTGAACTTAGTACTATTGAAAACAGTCTTTYCAAGAGCAAAGGGAATATTCAGCTTAACTTGTGCATTCTGGGTAGGAGCAGAGGTGGTTCCAGTGTGTCTCAAATTGCCTGATGACRTTTCAGCTAATTTATACTGGAACTGCCTTCATTTTCACCAAAACCCTCTGAATAATTCTGTCTGAGGCCTCCAATCTGTTAGCTCACTTTAATTAATAAATACTTAACCCTAAAGCTCAGAGGGCTCAAATTTAAGTTAAATTCAAACAGTACTTCTGTGGGATTGAAAAGCTCTGTCTCTGCTGCTCTCGTATGACTGGAAAATATGGGAATGGTTTAGAGGTAAAGGATGGAGACTTAGCTAAGCAAAGATGTGCCCTAAGGGAAGACATAGAAAATACAGTGCTACAATAGATACGTTAATATTTGATTAATATTGCTGGATTGGTTATTCAATGTGGCACTGAACATTTCTCTGGTAACTGTTTTGTTCCAGGGTATCATCTTTAAGGTTGGCCTACAGAGATTTTGATATTAAAACAAGAGAAGAAAACTTAAACCTCTCTGGTAAGAAGAAAAGTGAACTGGAGAGGCTTGGCATGGGATTGGGCAGCAGCAGGAGGTATGTGAAATTCTGGAAACTGTCTCCGAAATACTCTTTGCTTTTATGCAGTTATCCCTCATTTACTTAGAAATGAAGAATTGAGCTAAAGCATGTTATGGAAACTTAATATCAGMAAAAAATCTGCTCTTTGTCAAGGGGACACTTCTGATAGAACTGCCAGACTAAGTTCTAACCTGCCAGACAGATGTCAGCCTAAATTGTGTTTGCCAGCTGTCAGAATGGGCTTCGTGTTCAGAAGTTTTGTCACTGCTTCAGGGAGCAACAGTTTTCCTAACTCCTTTATTTTAATTCCTTCTTGTTAAATGTTTGTATTGCTTGGGCTTTCTCARCACGCTTCAGAAACAAGATGTGGGCTTTTATTTCTTATTTTCTTTCAGGGTGTGAGCTTTGTCATCTCTTTACAGTTGTAAATACTTGTTTTCTTCCTGTCCCCAGTGGCATTTCTCACTCGGTCACCTCCGATTTGCAGACAATAGAGCAGGAAGCCCCTGCAGTCACGAAGCCAAAGAAGAAATACATGGATGATGTGGAAGACTCTTATTTCTCATCCAGCTCGAGGTATCTGYGAGCTTTTGATTCTGGATGGAGCTGGAGGTGTACACAGGTTCCATAATAATATGTGCAGTATTTTTGAAAGCTGAGATGGAGACAGTTTGAGCCTGAGTACACTCCCAACATGTTTCCAGGGGACACGGGATCAGAAAAGGTGTGGGAAAGTTGGCTTTGGCTCAGTGACAGATGGATTTGGAAAGGAGGGAGTGAGCTTTGCTGAGAAGGTGGTCTGAGCTTTTGTAGGTTTTCTCTTATCTAGATAAGTCTCTGCTTGTGCAGGCAGTTCCCATATAAGCTTTTATTTGTTGTATTCCAAATCCAGTGAATTTTTTTGTCAGAATTACTTGTGTTCATTGCTCTTTTCTTTCTTGTGTTCACCTTCAGTTTCAAATTAAACAAACATTGAAGTCTGATGTTAGATATTCTACAGTTGCATCATTCTTTGCGTGTCAAATGGAAAAACTTCAATGTTTTTGAGGTGTTGTGTGTTGTGTAGATGTCTGTAGTGCTRTTTCAGAGACATGTATGTATCTCAACATGAAACATAAGCAAAAAATAATTGATTTTTTTTTTATCAGAGAATGAATGCAATGCATATAATAAAATAGTGCTCTTGAGAGAAGAAAAGTGCTTAATCTCACAGGCACTAATTGCAGTGAACCAGCTGGTTTTGGACTGAGAGATATAAACAGGTGTTGCTTTCATAAACTGCCACAGAAACATGAAAAATTGTACCTGATTWCTTGTAGACAGGCAGATAAAAGCACAAAGGCTTTTGTGTCACTGCTTTGTGGTGTARTTGCTGCAGCAGAAATACAAATATGGGACCAAGGAAAGTGGCAGCAGTCTTGTGAAATAAAGCAAATAAAGCAGCATTTCAGTGCTTGCTTTGATTGTCCCCTGAAAAGTACTGTGAGTGCTCTCAGACTGTTCATCAGCTCCCAGCAGGCAAAGGGTGAATCGTGGAGGAGGTTTATTTTAAAGTGTTGTGGTTCAGTGATCAGAAGGTGAATTGTAATCTGGCTGTTCCCTGCTCTTGTTGTTCCAGTCAGAACTGGGAGGATTGAACTGGAGTTGGTTCGTTCTCTTTAAAGAAAGAACAGATTCAGACTTAAGGTTATTATTATCCTTTATTTCAAGCTGTGACTTCCAAAGAAAGGCAAAGGAACTTAAGTGTGACTTTAGCATATGCCCAAGAGCAAAATAATCATACTGGATAATAYTAGAGTGCTCGTAAGTGAATGAAGCAACCTGAATGTCTCAAGGTTTAGACATATAATTGAGGCCTCTGAAAACTTTCAATTCTGATTTTTGCTTTATTTGAATTAATAAAATCTTTATTAACATCACAGTGTAAGGTTCTGTTTTCTGCTAAGTGYAGTTTTTCTTTCCCCCATTCCAATACTGAAGAAGTATTTTGCAAAGCCACAAAAATCAGAGGGGGAAGGTCAGASAAAATGAACACTTCAGTTCAATAGGCTCGTGCAGCCCCTGCCCAGTGCCAGGGTTTTGGTGCCCAYTGTGAGACTGGAAAGCTTCAAACCCATCTAAACACCTTGATTATGGAATTTATCAAATTGCTGTGGTTTCTTTTTGTCTGTCAGCTTTTTGTAGAAGTTCATTCCAGATCTGTCCCTCATATTTTTCATGCTCAGTCAGAGAGACTGCTGCTGCAGCTGTCACATTCCTCATAAACAGCAAAAACAAGTGGCCTGACTATTCATAGCACAAACAGGAACTTTCTTTTGTAAAGGGTATTTTCCACAAAATGCAGATGCAGACTTTAATATCCTAWCTTGTTTTATTGAATGATTCCATTCTTTTATTCTCCCTTGTGGTGTTGATCACCTTTCTCCCCATCCTGGTCATAACCAAACTTCACGTAAAAAAAAATTATTCAAGCATGAAGGGAAATCTTAATCTTTGSTGTTTTCATAGTTTTTGATGATTTCTTTTTTTCAAATACTTTCCACATATGCTGATGTATGTGTAGGTAATCAGAAGGGGAAAAGACCAAATAATGTAGCAGTACTGACAAATGCGCTGTGTTTTTTATTCCATTTCTTTATTTTGTGTTTTCCCTACAGTTTTGATTTGCAAGAGAGGATTGTCTTATTAAATTAAGACTAATTTTCAAGAAATATGTCTTTAGCATTTAGTTTTGATAAAATGTGCTGCAAAACTCACAAGTTCTTAATATTTGGATTTTAAAAAATATACAGAACCAGAAACAAAGGCTTTCCTTCCTATTCTGAGCCATAAACTTCTAAAGCAGTATTGTGAAATCCAGATTATTCACTGACAACTGAAAACATGTTGCTAATGAACGATTATTTCAGCAGTATTTATCTAACAATGAATAAATATATTCCTACTTCTYAATAAATAAYSAAGTTGACTTTTTAATGAGKTTTTTTTTTYTTCTTTTATTCTAGGTACTATGATTCTTCAGATTTGAGGAGCAGCAGTTTCTCTAAATGGGATGACAGTTCAGATGCTTTCTGGAAGAAAGAAAATAACAGCAGAGATAKTGATATATTGTTAACTTCAAAAAGCACAGGATTTTCAGACAGGTATGGCAAGAAAACCAAAGTAATTCTTGTACCAAAACCCCAAATTTGTTAATGTGATTTGAGTCCTGATCATAATAGTGGTTTTTTTTCAGTGTGTAGAAGGAGAATTTGACCATAAATTTCACCAGCAGTCAAGGGATCTCCTGATTGAATTTCTTTTATAGCCTAAATTTCTTGCATGTTAAGCACTGTCTGTGGAACTCCATTCTGTTCAGTCCGTGTACTGGAGGTAATTCCCAAAGACTTTCAGCAGAAGAGAAAGTAGACAAAAKATGTGAGGAGAAACTCAAATATTTGCTCTGTGCTGAGCACATAGCTGCTTCCTTTATTGTGTGATGAATCAAAGAAAACCTTGTTAGCAAATGAATGAAAATTTGGGGCACTCAGCTCTGAGGATAAAGGAACTGGAGACACTTCCAAACAACAATGGTTGTGATGATAAAAAAGTCTTTCCTCTCTGACAAGTGTATTTTTATCTTTGTAATCAAGTAGAAAATGTCAGAATGGGGGGGATGTTGTGCTTGGTTGATGCTTTCTGCCTCTATTCTTTGTACTTTAAACCATATTTTTTGTTGATCTATGAAATACAATTTGAGCACTTTAGTACTTGTTTGATTCCTTTTGTTCTGCCATGATGTGAAGGAAGTTCTTCCTGTCCCTGATGCCATTTATTTTCCTTYCAGACCTGCATCTCGGCGAAAGCCTGAATATGAACCTCCTTCAAACACAGAGGAGGCACAAAAAAAGTTTGGCAACATTAAAGCCATTTCTTCAGACATGTACTTTGGAAGGCAGGATCAGGCTGATGTGAGTAGGAAACAGTGGTGATGTATTTTTGAATGWTAGAATATTCTTTGACTATAAACATGGTGTTCTTGTATAATGGGAAGGCAGTCAATAGTTAAAATTGGTAAAATTAATGAGCTTTCAGAATTATGTCCACTTGATTGTTTTTCTGATAGAAATGTACAAATTTCTGATCATTTAGTGTTCCATTTTAAGGAATTGCAGCTGCACATAGGACCATACCTCTATCATTCTTCTCTTTTGACAGAAGTGGTGGACTGTGATTCAGCACTCCTGATTTTTGATAGAATCAGGCTTAGTTCATTTGTTCTAAATACCCAAACGGATGCCAACAAACTGCTAAAAAATCCTCCTGCTCTGTATTTGTTGCATGAAAATATCATCAATGTTGTAAAGCTAARTAAATAAATTGCTCAGTGAATTGCATGTAGTTGAACCAGCACAGAATAAAAACAGATTAATATGATGCTGCATTTTGGAGGTGAAGGGTAGATTTTTAATTGAAAATTGACAGTGTAAAGACTATTGTAAAAAGTATAATTACTGTTTGCAGGGAGCTTGGAAAAAGTTCTAAAAGTCCTGTTGTTGGAAGGGTCAGCAGGATGTTATCTGCAGTGCTTTCTTTCCCCTCCATTTCACCACTCCACATTKTTTTAGTTGTTGTTTTTAATGGTGGCATCATTTTTCAGCAATTTTAGGGTAACAGTTAGTGAGTAGGATCCTCAATGTTGCAGTGATAAATGTCACTCTTGGGTAAATGAGATGAAATCAGAAATGAGATGGTGACAAACTCAGTGTCAGTGATSTGAAAACTGAAATGGGCACAACTCAGCATGGCCAACTTCAGCTTCAGTTCCAGAATAACGATTATAATCTCTCAAATTCTCTGAGCAAACTGATCAAATCCTTCTCACTCTCAATTCTCTCCAGTATGAAGCCAGGGCTCGGCTGGAGCGCCTGTCTGGAAGCACTTCCATCAGCTCAGCTGACTTGTTTGAGGAGCAGAGGAAACAGGCAGCAGGTATGGATGAGAGAGAAATGGGATCAGTGGGGTGCAATCCCTGCTCCCAGTTAGCACAGACACCACTGCATTCTGCAGGAGCACTGCTGGTAACTCAGTCATGTCAGGTGGAGTCACTGTTTAAAATGAACCCCTTGAATTTTGAATTAAGTGTTTTTGGTTTTATAACTTCAGTATTTKATACTGGGGAGTGTTGCAAATAACAGACTATTTGGTAAATAATTTTTATCAAAGGAAAACTGTAATTTTTTCCAATGACCTAACACTTACATGGACTCTCAGGTAATTTTTTGATCAGTTACCATAAGTAACTTATTCGCTGTCATAATAATATTGGCTCTAGGAAATATCATTAATAAAATGTCAGCGGTCTTGAAATTCCCATTGGAATTGTTGCATGGGAAAAAAATCATCACGACATCACCTCGACCCYTGGTCTAAAGACTAAAAGGAGTCTCCATCTGAGAAAACTGGTTTGGATGGTCACTCTCTGGAGCCCCGTTTGTTCCCAGGATCTTTGGGGTGAGCTCATTGTGGCCTGGCAGTGCCTGAAGGGAGCCCACAGCAAAGATGGAGAGAGACTCTTGACAAGGGCCTGGAGTGACAGGGAAGGGRCAATGGCTTCACACTGACAGAGAGGAGGGTCAGATGGGATATGAGGAAGAAATCGTTCCCTGGGAGGGTGGGAGGCCCTGGCACAGGGTGCCCAGAGCAGCAGAGAAGCTACAATCCCTCTGAGTGCCCAAGGCCAGGCTGGATGGGGCTCTGAGCACCCTGGGACAGTGGAAGGTGTCCCTGCCATGGCAGGGGGTGGCACTGGGTGAGCTTTATGGTGCCTTCCCTTAATCTCCCTCCCAGGCCATTCCATGATTCTGTGATCGTGGCTCTGTGATGCTGGTTACTCCTGTTTGTGCCTTTGACAGGATCAGGTATTTTCYATTAAGGCATGCCAGTGATTATTTTCCCCAATGTGTGGTCATGTTAATATTTATCATGCAGTTCAKTTTGAAATATCTTTRATTTCTGTTGCCTTTACACCTGCACTTTCCATAATAACAGTTGAGATAACTCTGTCCAAATTATATTGACTTTCAGGAAGGCGTCATTGTTCTGGAGTTCTAAAACCTGTTTTATTTATATTTGCTGTAATTTCTATAGCATTTGCMAAGCCAAAGGTGTAGTAATGCAAAATGTATGAGTATATACAGCGTGGAAATCATCCCTAGGCATGACACAAACAGGGTTCATCACTTCAGCCACCTCTGAAGAACATTCATCTTTAAATTGCAGGGGGATTAACAGCTGTTGGGGATACTGAACAACATTGTCACAGATTGGAAGTACAGAATAAATTATCTGGAAGCACTGTTATCCAAATATGAATTGCTCATCTGGGAGTTCAGAGTGTAGAAGGTGACACTCTGGGTGGAATTAKGAAAATAATCCAGAAGGAAGATGCATTTAAGACATTGAGATCTGTGTCTAGTGCTCCACTATGACTAGTGTTTAGTCATATACTGCACTTCAGGGAGAAAAAAAAAGGTGCTTTTAATAAAACATTCTGGGTTTTTCCTGTGTGTGTTCTCCTTTTAGGAAGCTACAATATTACAAATGTCTTGCCTTCAGCTCCTGATATAGCTCAGTTTAAACAAGGAGTGAAATCAGTGGCTGGAAAACTTTCTGTCCTTGCTAATGGGGTSATGACATCTATACAGGTGAGTGAAAATGTCACAATCTATTAACCATCAATAGATTTCTATCAGGATTTAATACTGTGGAACCTGCTAGTGAATTATCTTTAGGGAGAAAGGARTGAATTTGGTTTTGAGCTCTGTAGCTTTCTCAAAGGAGACAGTAAATATTTTAAAAATAAATCTGTATCTGTTAGCTCACCTTCATTAGAATTTTTTTTTATGAATGAAGTTAAAATCCCATCATGAATGTTATGTGTTGTCACTCTGTTTTTTAACCCATCAGAATTCCTAACTCAGAGTGGAACAGCCTGGTGGGAAGGGACCTGCAGGAGTAACCCAGCCCAGCTCTTGTGTGGGCTCTTTAATTGACCTTTGATCCCTGTTTTGCACACAATGAGGCACCCTGGCCTTCATGTCCAGTATGTTTTGTGCTCCAGTCACTGACACAGTTCCTGTGTGATTTCAAACACCTCTTATAGGTTTRAAAATCAGGCTGATTGTCCTGGAGTTTAACCCTGAGCTCCAGTTCTTGGAAGCRCTGCTCAATTTTCTGAAAGTCTTGAAGAATTCAGCTGCTATTTGCTGTACAAAGGGAAGTGAAACTGATTTTAATGGAAAACCCACTCATGTCTGGTTTGTTATTTGTTTTTGCTTTTCTAGGATCGATATGGTTCCTAACTGAAGCTGCAGAAGGATTCTCTTCAGGCACACAATGATTCAGATGAAGGTGGCCTTAAGACTGATGATGTTTTTACCTGTTCCTTAGTGCAGATTTCTGACTCAGCCTCTTCATAGTGCTGTTTCATCTTGACAGAGCAGAAATTTTGCAAAAATTTGTTACATTGCATATGCTTTGGGTTTTTTTYCCTCCTTTCCAGTCTTTATTTCTTACCAACCCCATTGTTGGATGCTGGGAGCTGTATTTTGTTACTGCTTCTGTCTGTGAGGCAGCAGAGAARGAAGGATGAAGCATCTGCTGAGGGGGTATTTAGTGGACTGTAGCTAAACAAACACTTAAACTGTGCTTTGCCAGGAAGTAGAAGCTCTTGAAGWCATAAATTGATGTGCATTAAAATGGTGGGGAATTAGTGGTTTCAAACAATACTACAGCTAGAAGGTTCTGTGCTTAGATGTGAAGATGGAGAAGTCAAAATGTGATAATACTGAATAGTGGATTTCATCTTGTTGTGGGAACAATYTATTTATTCCTAATTTTGAAAGTTACAAAAATAATTGCCATATAGGATCCTTAAGTGCTTTTAAAAAATTTGTATTGTGTACAAAATTAAAAAAAAACCCTTGAATATACTGAAAGGGCCTAAGAAAGTAGTTAACGAAATTCTTGTTAAAAATATTTAGCACAATCTTAGATTTTTGATAATTTATCAATTATTGAATGAGGAAATAGTGGGGCTGTGTTTTAGACAGTCTGGAATTTATTGCTGATGACATCTTGCATAAAAATTATTATGACCTTAAAGAAAAAAACCTCACAACCAAGAATGAACTCAAGGTAATTTTGTTCTGTAATTTTCWTAATTCAAATTTGTAAACTGCTGATATCTAATAAAAACAATTGATATAAACTCAGTTTTAAATTCAATTTCTGTGTGTTGTCACCAGTATYCAGTTTAATAAATACTGTTGTCTGATTTTGTCTATACAGTGGTCTGGTAAAATTAGCCTTTAGTTTCAATTAGTGAAATTAGTGCTTTCTTATTAGATTGCTGCAGGGATTTAGAAATCCAAACATTGAGGCTGGGGTGGAAAATGAGCTACTGAGCTGAAATACTCTGCTGAAATACAGGAAACAGTATTTGGGGTTTAATTTCTGCCTGCCTCACATTTCATTCTCTGTTCTGGTAACCTCCTCTTATGGCTGTTGAGTTTAAAYTTAATACTTTGATTTCATAATCAAAAAATTACCTTTCTTTTTTTAAGGCAGGTACAAGATGAGCATTTTTTTCTGCTCAATGGTTCAGCTTTGCAATAGAAGGCTTTCCTGAAATGCCAGCCCTGTTCTGCTTTCAGGCTGGCAAAATGCAGCAAAAGAGCTTTCACAGGAGGAAAGGCTTTTTCTAAGGTACCTCCCTGTTATCCTGCATTCAGACTCAAACAGTGCGAGAAGAGAGGTCTTGCACAGAAAGATTCACCTGAATAGAAGGATTTCCTGAAATGCCAGCCCTGTTCCTGCTTTCAGGCTGGCAAAATGCAGCAAAAGAGCTTTCAAAGCAGCAATCTCTCGAGGAAAGGCTTTTTCCAGGGTGCTGTGACAGGTTTGTGAGGATGCCCATACACAGAACTCTGCATTTATTCAGGGTGTGTCCCCATTTGATGATGAATGCATAAACATTCCAAAGGGAAGTGGCAAAGGGTGCAGCCTCTCAGGCTGCCTTGCTGTTTGAGTCAAATCTGACAGCAAATTAAAATTAATTGGATGGTTTGGTTAGCCATGTTCAGACAGTAAAGGAGATCTCACCTGCAGAATAAGAAGTTTTTAAAGTTTCAGTGTTCTTTTTATGATTGGTTCCTAGGTGCTGAAGAACAGTAGGGCTGTAACTACATGCTTAAGCAATATAGCAGCCCTACTAAGGAGCTGTGCTTGGTGGGAGCTGTAAAGCGAGCTCTGGTGATTTCACTTCACTTGTTTAGTATGACATTGCTATAAAGTACCCCGGTTTTCCTTTGTTGTTTTTTGTACGGAGAAATGTGCTGCCAGGCAGAACTCACCGGCGGCCATGACAGTGCGAGCGCCGAATCATCGATGGCGCAGGGCGGGGCACAGCGCAGGGCACAGCGCAGGGCACAGCGCCGCACGCCGAGACAGCGATGGGGCGTGGCGCGAGCCCGGGGGCGGGGCCGGGGCGGGGCCGCCACAACCAAAACAACGGCCTGGCCCGGCAGCCCTTGCGGCCGCCCCGCCGCCACCTTCCGCCGCCGCCGCTGCTGCCCGGCGGGGCCGCTCGGGCCGGGAGCGAGGCCGGGACAGCCCGCGGAGGCTCCGCCGTCCCGCCGCCGCCGCCATGAAGCTCCGCGTACGGCTGCAGAAGCGAACGGCGGCCCTGGAGCTGCAGGGGGCGGAGCCAACGCTGGGGGAGCTGCGCGCGCAGCTGCGCCTGGGCCTGCTGCCCGCCTGGGGCTACAGGTAACGGGCGGAGCGAACCATCGCCGGGGGGCGGGGGG